GAGCAGCCGCTGCTCGGGAGAGTTGGCAACGCGACGTCACCCTGCAGGTGACTCGGCAAATCGGGTCTCCTGCTCACCTCGACCACGACGGCAAAGAGCCGGAGGCAAACTGGAAAACTGGAGGAATGGAAAACTGGAGTGGCAGAAGTGAGCTCATGCGGTTATGCGGGCGCTTTTCCTCACAATCCAATTTGCACAAGACATTATTAAGCAAGCCACTTGGTTATTTAGAAGAATCAAAAGAAATTAACCTCCCCTGACATTGTTTGGCCAGTTTCTTATGAAAATAAATGGGATTGAACTTGCACATTGCCAAACCTACCATATTTAAATTTACTCCGGTATGACATAAGTCTTCACGCTCTACATGGGGGAACGTTATCTGGTTTCACCTACTTGTAGTCGAACTCCCACTGAAGGTAAAGGCACAGGCAAGGTGGGCGTGCTGCAGTCAGAGATGGTCAGCAGCTGGGCTGATGGGACCTCTGAACCTCCCAAAACTTTGAGCCAATGGGAAGCTTCAAATAGAAAGCAGCCTTTAAGCTGCTTTGTTTTCTGAACCTTAAACACATTGTTTGTCAGTCACTATCTACATCATTTTTGTTTTGAGTTTGCTGGAGCATATTCTTGAAACAAGTCTGATCAAGATCTTACTTTAACTCAGTTCTGGTGGAGAAAAAGAGGAAACCCTGGGACCAAGCTAGGTAAGTGCAGGGATGAACAATAATATAACTATTTAGCAAGTGCTGAAGTTCTCATGGACTTTGCTTCACCCAGTTCAGAGCAGAGGCTGAGTTAATGTTTTGGAGGGGGGCGGTGATGGTTTTGTTTTGTTGTTGTTGTTGTTTTGTTATTTGCTTCTGGAAGTTACAAAACCAAACACCACCTACCTCTGTCTCTCAGGATTCTTCCTTGCCATTATGTTAAAAAAATATATAAAAAATATCCATAGTTGTTCAGGACTTCCTCTCTTATAACTTGATGGTTTTGCCATCACAAACTAAGTTTACTGTTGATTAAGCTGATCCTTCAGCTTTGTGCTCACCCTTTTCCTGAGATCATCTATCACATGTTGGTCACCGGCCCATCTCTTCCACTGCCCATGCTCAGGGGCTGCCTGGCGCCTTTGCCACCATCCAGTCTCTGTACCAGCGCTGGAGCACCCAAGTGCCTGCACACATGGCACGGTGGGCAACGCAGCTGATATCTGCTGTGGTGGTGCTTCGCTCCCTTACCCTCTTCCCACATCACTGAGGATGCTTTTCCTTCCTGCCTAGGCCAAGATTTGTTGTCTTCTGGCACCTTGTTTTATGTTGGCAGTAGGTATGAGATTGTGTGTTTTAGCTAGTCACACAGACATGCACACACACACCCCTGCAGGCCAAGTCAAATAAACATGTCTCAGACCTGAAGCAGAAGGTTGTAGGTGACAGTCCCCGGTTCCCAAGCATGTTTGAACCAGTCCTGGAAGATGATCTTTCTCTTGCAAAGGTACCTCTGTGTGCACAAACAACCACTTTTTTTCCTGTTGTTTGCTAAATATTTGGGGTTTCTTCCCCCACTTAAGAGAAAAGCTTGCAAATTTAACTTTGCATTTTCCCAGTTTTAATAGCACCAGTAGATACGTCCCTCCTGTAGATTCAGGCCAAACTCCCGTTCAGCGGCCGCTGCTGGCCCCGGCGGGGGAAGGCAGCAGCCTGCCCACGGTCGGGGCTCTGCGGGCGCCTGTAGCGCCCGTAGGGGCACCAGTTGCCCAGCTCAGGGCCAAGCCGCTGGGCTGTTCGCCCACAGGCAGAGGCCCGTTGTTCCCACCACACCTTGCGCATGGGCTTCATTGGGGTGGGAACAGGGTTATCGGCACTACACAGAAACAAGCACGACGTGGCGATACGGCACCGTTTCTCTCGGTGTCCAGTAGCGATAAGCGGCATGTTTTAAAGATGCTGCGTCGCCGGGCCGCTCTGTGAAAGGGGCGGTCGTGAGCCTCACCTCGTGGAGGAGGGCGACCCAGCTACGCCCCCGTCCCTGCTCGTTTCGCGGGAGCCTTGGGAGCGTTCACCCGTCCCTGCAAATCCGACGTAAACCCTTCCAATTCACTTGCTTGTTTCTGAATTAAAGGTGGGGGGATCTTCAGTTTCAATTAAAAACCAAAAAACAAAAAACCACACACAAGCTTAACAAGGAGGATCTGGCCATGTATTTTTCCCCAAATCAGCGTTCCCGCCCTCCGTCTTTGTCCGACTGGCCTGCTTGGCGTGCGCAGATCGATTTTGCTCCGAGTCGACGGAGCAGCTCCTGCTGCCCCCTCCCGCATCGTGACTGTTTCTCACGCTGCTCTGCAGCGCCCAAGGAAAAGCCTTATCAAAACGTGTAGGCAGGGGAGCAAGCCCGCTAGCCCCCCCGAGACCCTCCGTTTTTGTTATGCTGCAGCACAGATGAAGCCCTCCATCGCGCATCCCTGGTGCAGAGAAACAAGTGCACCAGCCCTCTGAGGAAGACACCCACGCAGGATGTACTTTTGTGGGTCTGTCTTAAATCTCTGCTGAGAAACGGGGTGCGTACAGGCCGTGCTGCCGCAGCTTATCCACAACGGCGGGAGAACGCTGAGCCCGCGCCGAGGGCTCGCGCAGCCCGGCCGGAGGGCGCCCGCGCCAACAGAGCACAGGTTCGCTCTGGAAACAAAAGCCTTTTCGCACCTCCTTCCCCTCGCTCCTGCACGTGAAGATGGCCTTGCTGCCACCTTTATTTTTCCTCCTCTCCTTACTCATGGCATCTAAAGCACTCGGGCTTAAGTTGCTTCGGCCTCCCAGCACTTAACCCCTTACTTATTTAGTCCCTGAGTTTTCCTGGCCTTTTAGTCCATCTTCAAAGAGCTGCACAGTTTACGAGCATAGCTCGAGCCATCGTATTTCTGGATCGAAGCATCTCTTGCCTTGGGTGTCACTGTAAGGCAGCTGTGTTCCTGTTTATTTTTTGACCAACACAGCATTCCCACGGTTGCATACAATCCTCGTGCAACACGCTGTGACACGCCACGCTGTGCGATACCGGGGACGTGCAATAAGATAACACAGACATGACAGAGAGCCAATATAAAAATTAAGTTTCATTTAAAGACATACCTCTTCAACGTCTCCCGGAGGGCACCGGTTTTTAACACCGTCCTGCCAAGCGCTCACTTCACGGGGAATTTTGAGCACCGTTTGCTTCTGCCTCCAGTTGAGAGGAGGCTGACGCATCCACATCACCCACAGGACGGGGGCGCGCAGGGCCCCAGGCCAGCAAAGCGGGGCCCCGCCGGCCTGTGTTCGCCCCTCCGCTGGCGCGAGCCGGCTTCAGAAAACATTTTCCGGAGGAATCCCTCCCGGACCCAGCTTCTGGCGTCTGCGCAGCGCCCGACCCCAGCTGACCTCCAGGAGCACAGAGGAGCTTCAGCGGCCGTCAGAGCCGGTTAGGACGATTTCTGGGCACAGCGGGCCAAGAGCCCCAACGCCGTCCACAGGCAGAACGAAGCAGGCAGGAGGGGGACAAACCCCACCAAGGGGGCCCTAAATGCCTTCGTCAGCCCCTTCCAGCTGAGAGCCTTTAAACAGCTGTTGCCACTTAAAGCAGGCTGCCAAATCCAACCTCCCCCCTCCATTGCAAAACAGTAGCAAACCAGTTTTTCAAAAACCTGGTGACGTAGAGAGCGTTTTGGCCCGCTTTGGAGGGACGAGGGGGGAGCCGGCAAGGACGTGTCCAGCAGCCTGCCGGCGGCCCAAGTCGCTGGGAAAGAGGAGGATGCAGCCCGGCCGCTGTGCAGGCACCAGCGCCCTTACTGAGCACGTGCCGGCCTCAGCGAGAAAAACCACATGTATTTGATCCGAGCAGCTATTGATCCAACTATTTCAGGGTACCCCCCTCCCCAGCCCAACTGTTCAACAAGGCTAACATGTAAAAATACTATTTGATGCTATATTTTTACTGTATATATAGCAATATGCATGCACATATGTCGCGTGACGATGATATTTGGGAGTTTTAAAGCTGCAGCCTCTTTATGTTGTCCCAGGTCCGGCTGGCCCGTACTGAGCAAAGCAGCTAAGAGAAGTTCAGTTCATCTCAACTCAGCAAAATGCTGAAAGCTGGCTGTGTGCATAAGGGCTTTTCTGAATAAATGCACCCACAGAAGTTTCTGTTGCAGGCTATAAATTGAGTTAACTACATTTTAAACTATATACCGGGCTGGCTATATACGTCAGTCAGCTATTAATCTTCTGTAGTTTTTTTCTTTTTTTTCGTATCATTGCTTTTCCTTCTGATTTTTTTCTTTATATTCACATTTCTGTTTCTGATCTGTTCCCGATTTGTGTGTATATTTGCAGTTCTTAACATGGAACAATTTCATCATGTCTGATGTTACCAGTAAAATGCCGATTGATCTACTTGATTGCCTTCAGTACAAAATTTCACTGGAGTTAGACTGCTGTCTCAAGACTGCAAGAGACACAGGATAACATAATCCTAACAGGCTTTTTTTCCCAATAGGAAACGTTGATATGAGCTACAGAGACACTTCCCAATGCTGTTTCATTATACCACCAATCTGCAGAAAGTACAACATTTCATTTATAAAGAGGGCTGGTAGCATGTAGAAGGGGACCTGCCCCTGCTCTGCGAATGAAAGGAAGTGCTTCGATGCGTGCCCAGGGGTTGCAGGAAAGGCAGAGTGCATTCCTCATGAGTTTTAACAGAAGGAAAGATTGTGATTAGCCTCAAATACAAGTTAAACGAGTGTCTATTGCCACATATAGGCTGGACCCCTGTCACCCATCAATAATATCATTGCACTCACCTGCGGATACGTCTTTTGAGACTAAAAGCCTGGTTTTCATGGAGGAGGAGCCTGGTTATTGCAGACTGGGCCGGAGCTCGGTGTCCCCGATGCTGCGGCGAGCAGCGCTTCGGTGGGCACCCGTGCCCCTGGCAGGCACTAGCCGAGTGGCTTTCCCGCCCGGCCGCTGCCAAGTCCCTGCACGCTCTCATCATTGAATCAGAAGGAGGAAAAACAGGGATTTATGACAGAATTGTCCAGGGAAATCTCCCGCTACCTATTCTCAAAGTCAGACAAGCCCATGCGAGACCAAAGCAAAACCGCGCGGGACGCGCAGAGCACGCAGCGCCGCGCACCCCGCACCACAGCTGAGCACCGCCTGCCTCTGGGCTGTGTGACCAGCGCGCACGCGTCTGACCGGCGTTGTTTTCAAAAAAAGGCGTCGCGCCTCAACGACATGCTGCGCGTCACTGAGCAGTGCGCCACGCCATCGCGCCACAACCGTTACACCGATTTTAAAATCGCAGCTCTCCGCTGGAAACAGTGTCGCTAGGAGCATGATGCTGCCGTCATCTTTTCAGGTGCCTACCATCTGCCGTGCCTTCACTTCCCGGCCGAAATCGGTCGGCTCTTCTTCGGCACACGCTGCATACTGGGAAAGTACGACCAGATCAGCCAGTGCACAGGGTGGGGAAGGGGGCAGAAAAGGACCTCAGACCCCCTTCGAAAACACTGCAGGAGACGACAGAGGACATGCACAATTTGGAAGGGATAAAACCTGCGAGCTGAGGATGTGCCAAAGTTTAACGACCAGACGGAAAATCAAAATACTTCTTTCTGAGTTACAGCAGGTCCAGAAACGTACCTGATACGCAAGCACTGTCTTGTGCCGTAGCACCGTCCTGCGGGCAGCAGCTGTGCCTCGAACTCGCACTTTCTCATTGCTCCTTTTAAAGGGCGTAAGGGGGCAGAGAGGACTTTCACCCTTCATTAGTGGATGTGTTTGCAATATGATTTGTGATCACGCATCTGTAACAAGTGAAATTAATGAAAATAATTAATGAACGGTAATCCAAGATCCCAGGATCAGCAAGAATAGAGTCCCAAGGACATCCACCCTGTGATTTTTTTTTTTTATTGATCCATGAGATCTTAATGTTTTCAGTGCAAGGAGCAGCTGGGGAAGAGGTGAGAAATGTGTCCCACCTGTAAAGCTCTTTGTTAGATGGGTTCATTGCAAGACTCTCCTCTGTTTTGTACAGTCACGTACTTTCATTCCCAGAAGAAATCGCTTTACATCTGTGAATTCCCCTCTTCACAATTTTATCTCTATCTGTAAGGAAAAGCAGTGAAGTTTGCCTCAGATCCAGCTGCTTCGATTTTATACAGTGTTTGGACAGCAGGTGTATGTAAAGAAAAAAAAAAAAGAGAACAAACAGAAACACGAGCAAAACGATGGCTTTGCAGCATACTCAAGACCCTTGAGCCATAAAACATACAATGGAGACTTGGATGGGAATGGATGTATTAAAAACAACTTTCGCGAGGAGATATCAAAAGCCAGGTAGGCGATGCTATGAGGCTGAGATCAGCCGTCACTAAAGAGCGGAGCAGGAGCGAGAAAATCACAGCTGCGCGGGTGGAGAAGGCCCTTTGCAGCCGGCCTCCAAGGGCAGCGGAGCCTGGCGAGGCCCCGGGGCGTCAGCGCGGCCCCTCGGCCTCCCCTGCCAGGCCGGACCCACCTCCAGGGGCAAGTAGGGCATGAAGGGGA